AATTGGTCGGAAGCATTTTAAGATGCACCTTTACTTGGTAGTTTAGTAAAAAATATGCAAATTTAACAGAGGCTACTTTTGCATATTCCAGAGGTTTAGCGTAAAAGGCTTCGCGAGATAATCATTATTGATTTTCAAGATGAAATTATCCTTTTTCGTATTACAAAGTTTCCGTGATAGCCTGAATCAAAATTGTAGAAGATGGTTTACAATGCCTTTTCTATGGACACTACTTTTAATGCACAACAAGCGTACACATTTATCTTCATAACCGATAAAGTAATACTTTTCACCCCATCCATTTTATACTAACAGTTCTTTCCTTTACAGTTTCTCCTTAAAGACTAAAGAAAAAACTTGAATAAAAAAATTTGACAGTAATATTTTTATACGAACACTTATTAATAACGTTGGTATTTTTTGTAACAACTATTTGAAAAGTTATGCAGTTATTGAAAATCAAATAGCAAGTTACAACCTCAACGCAAGAGATATGGCAACAAAATAGTTAACGCTACTCGTTTACGCGCCAAAATAAACTATTATCAGCGAATCACGGAATCTAAGAACTAATAAACATATTCTATATGCATCATGTTCAAAAATCTTGGATCTTAACTAAACTAACACGTGTAAATAAGTAGTATTTTTAATAGGCTTACTGCTCATACAAATTTTTAGCTCATTCTAAAAGTTGTTTCTGGCCACTTCCAAGGAACAAAACTAAGAATAATTATTATAGGCTAAAAGACATTAAGTAAACAAAATTAAATGAAAGCACGTATAAACTACCATCATCTGAAATCCAGTTAACGCTAATAAACTCATAAAACTTTAATATCCATTACTATCAATGAAAATCTTATTTATTTTTTTTACGCTATAAAAACAAATGATAAGAATTCTTCTTAGAACAACGATAATATGAGAAGGTACCACTGAAACTGACTAGCTCGAAATACGACAACAAACTAATTAATGAACTTAGTAACTAATGAACTAGTTGAACAACGAAGTCAATTTAACACGTTCGTTTAATTTAAGACGTTTTGGTAAGGCAGCAAGCGATTTAAAACAAGGATGGTTGTAGATAGCTATCTCTTCTATAAGTTAAATGTTAAAATAAACTACATATGCTTTGGCTGTTTTTATTACCAACAAAGTGCATGGTAAATTTAGTATACTTAATGCACGGTTTATTATGAATGAGCTTATTCTATTATCTGCTTATTTTATAATTTTTAAAAAAGTCATTTTTCGAACTATTCAGCTCTTTTTCTTAATCACAAAGAGAACACAGATTATTCCTTGTCATACTTTAATTAGAATTATTGGTAAAATGTTATCTAACATTTAAACAACTGAAAGTACTTATAATTGCTATAGTAGATATACGATAATGTGTTTTAAAACGGAAAGTATTTGTGTCCATGAGCATATGCGTAATGTTTATTCCGTTGGAAAACAGCTTAACTCCTTGCTGTTTTAAAATATACCGCTATAGTCTGTGACTTTAGAAAAAGAACTTCAGGGGCATTTTCCTGATCGGCATGCCTCGTTACCATGGTAACTATAGCTGCGACAGATTCTTGATTCCTCCTATCTGTGTTTTTTCCTTTTTATTTAGGTTTAATACGCTTCACTTCAAGAAAGGCTCATAAATGAAAGGGGACTTCAGCTATGGTATCAGATGAGGTTATGAAAATAAGTGTTAAGTGGTGGTGACGACATGTATTTTGATCGCAAATAGGAGACGACTCTTCTCCATTTCCCATCGAAATGCGGGTTGAAATGCCTATTTTAAAATAAAAGAAACTTCAACGAAAGCAAATCTGAAATACGCTGAAAGCGCCCGTGGGCGAAGCACTGCTGATTGGTTATGGAGAACATTGTTTCATTATAATTTGGGAAATTCACAACGATGTTAGTTGAATTAGGAACTTCCATAAAAGAAACATATTTTTTCAGTTACTTTTCATACTTCACACATATTTTTTTAGTTACTTTTCAGTTACTTTTTAAAAGAAACATATTTTTTCAGTTACTTTTTTTAAAAGAAACATATTTTTTCAGTTACTTTAAACATATTTTTTCAGTTAATTCCAGATTAATGGTTACCCATCATTATAATATTTACCATATATCGTAATATTTACCGTATCACCCATCATTTCCTTAAAACAACTTATTATCAGTTCAATGACCTATTTACTTATGTTTCCTTAAAACAGGATGTCGTAGATATTCAAAGTATACCTTATATGCACTTTTTCTTGTGTCTTTAGAAGCTACTAATATTCAAAAGGTTTCGAAACGGTTTAAATGAAGTATCGCATTCGGTTAAGAATGAGCGAAGTTTTATGAATATGCATTTATGAAGCAAGAATTTTAGTGATTAGCGTGAAACTGTAGTATTGTAAGTAGTTGTCACCAAAATATGAAGATCCTTTAAATTTCTATGTTACGTTGTACAGTTTTTCTTCTTCTATACCATGTAGCTGAAAAACACGTTCGGCTAGCAAACGGAAGGTTCTGTATTTGAATCTTGCAAGAATTGTGATCACATGTTTCATGCTGCTTTTGTCAAAATACATATCGAGTGTACAAAGTAGCTAAAATGCATCTGCAAGGGAAGAAAATAAAGCTGTATAGCTAGGCTCCCGTAAGCAGATAACATCTAATACTAAATATCTTTTAAATCTTTATAAACTATGGTAAATTAGATTTAGAAACTAAATAGAATATCTTATTTGTATATCAGTGCTAAAATAACGAGAAATTCAACAAATATGGGAGGGGGTAAATAAAATCTTTCACATACATAAGGTAAGCGACTAGTGTGGCAGTTATAATAGCATATAGAAAAGTTCCTTTTGTATTATGTGTTTCCTCAAATATTAGTAAAAATTAAAAATACGACGCATTATAAAACAATCCAAGTGTCCTTATACTCTTGAGAAAATCGAACCTCGGAAGTATAAAAATTGCATCTTAAAATGAATGTCTTAGAAAATATTTGACAGCGACATTAAATCTCAAATGATAATATGTATCACTGAGAAATTTTTAATATTGCAAATGACTTAAAATTGTTTAGTGCATATGTACCAAATTCACTTTAAGAATGCTACAAAATGTAATCTTCAGATTTATATGGGCATCTGAACATAAAAACAAATAAATGACGTCCATAAATGGGATAGCATAAAATGATGATTGGAAAAGAGAAGCATAAATTGAAGATAGGATTGTGTAAAAGTATGCAAAGCATGCACATGGAAACATTTACTAGATCACTAGCAATACCTAGTAAATGTTTCCACTGTTAAACCATGATTCTTTAAAGACTTTAATATTGTTAAAAATAATCTTAAAGTGTTTAATCGAAAAGCATTGTATCCTGCTTTCAGTCTTAAATATTTTCTTCTAGATAATGTGCTTTTATTGTAGTTCTCTTCCATGTTTAATTATTAATATATTATAGCTTTTAAAGGATATAATACTCAGAAAATGGGGTGAGAGGTTTTTCTTTTAGTTTCAAAAGAGAAACCTAGATGAGATTTCTTTGAAATACTCAACTATTTGTCAGCAAAAGTTAAATCTAAATTTGGTTAAATTTGTTTTAATTTTAAGAAAGTGAATTACATGAATTACTTTTATGAACTTGTTTCAGTCTTTGAAACTTACAGAGAAAGAATATGAAAGTATTCTTTCTCTGTAAGCTCGAAAAGTAACTATTTTGTAACAGATCAAAATATCTTGCAATATTCCAACCTATAATTTGCATCTAAATGTGTGTAACCTTTAGAACTGGTAAGCGAATAATCGCTTTAGTTCAGTAGACAGAGAGCAGAACTCAGGAAGGGTTGAATCCCCTTTATTTGTCGAAATAAGAATTTAAAAGTTGACTTCTTCTCGGAGTTTACAGCAAAGCCTCCACTTGGGCTTGAACTCAGGAATACTAAGAAATAAAGCTTAACTAAACTAAAAAGATATAGCTGAAGCTATCAAAATTCTACAATAGTTGATCCCCTAACGCTTAATAAACGGTGAAGCTATCAAAGGCCTAAGGTATGGCCGAGCGTAGAAATAACTTTAGAGAGAAATCAACCTAAAAGACGAACGCGCGCTGGTCAGAATCTCTGGCTCTCTAACGAAGTCAGTAGAACTTCATCTTTAAATACTTGTTCTTGCTTCATTCACATTTAACAGCGATTCTGGTAACACGTTCTGGCAGAAAATTATAAGCTGAAATTAGGAAAGATAGGACAGTGGCTTTAACTAAAAGTAACCGTTATCAACTTAGGATAAACATTACAATCTTTACACGAAAAGTGTGTCAGAGAAAGTCATGCCATTATATTTATTGAATCAAACAATGTTCAAAGCATATTGTTATTATTGTCAGTAAATTTACACATGGAACACATTGATTAACTTTCACAGTTTTAAAACTACTGCAGTATCCACTCTGCTTGTTGTGCATCATGTTCTCTTAGACTTGTTTCACATGTGCCACGGCCCTGCATTCCTATCCTACAGATTCTATAGCTGTCTGGCACTTATACAGTAATCCCCAAGCTCGGTGGCCCTCCGTCTAACCAGAAACCGTATTTGGCTGCATCGTTTCAAATTTCCGAAGTACATGCTCTTCAATTATATCAAGACAATTGTATTATTAAGTCTCAGTCTTCATACAATTGTCTTGCTTAATAATAAAATAATTGATTGTAAAGCCCAATCGCATGCCCATATGGCACGACTACACGGTCATATGAAATTATTCTGATGATTTCATTAAGGATGTATATCAGACAATAGATCTACACAGAGGTTATTAATAAAGGGGGCAATGTTAACTGAAAGCAGTTTAATTGAATGAATTAAAGACATGACTTTTTTATATTGAATATTTCCTGCAATTAGAATAATTTATCTGTTAACAGTAGATTAATTTACGGATATCATGCATAAATTAATCAGCTATATTCTGCTTCTAGGGAATTTGATGGAATGTCACAGAAATCTATGATGAAAGTACTAATTTTGTCTATCCTTGTTGCTTACCGTCTTATTGCCTCAGGTAAGTTAGAGTCCAAATTTCTCATTATATGGAATTATTTCTATAAATATATCGGAACAATAGAACTTAAATTTGTCCCTTGCTTGCTTGTTTCTTATGAACTCATGCTACCTACGTTTTTGCTCATCAAATTGATTCGCTTCCATCAAAATTTAATTTAAATATACATCCTTTGTCAGAAACGTTCCAGGGCAAAAGACAAATCTTATGACACACCTCACAACTCAAATTCAGCTCTTCTAGTATCATACTCAAATTTATACGATGGTCTTATTGCAATATCTGCCTTACAGGCTCCATATTTGCATCGGTATGTGCTATGGGATCGTCTTGCACTGAATCTCTGCCTTCACGAAACCTTTAGTGCCACTCGAAAACACGACTTCTTGAAAGTGCCTCACCTGCATATGCTTACTTAGTCATGTTCTACGTTTCACTAGTGGTTTTCCCGAGCTTAACGCAGAACTTAATGTTCACTCTTTGTTCGCAAACTGTAACAGTGTCACTTTGAGGAATGCGACAACAACCCCATTCACTCTTTGTTCACAAACTGTAACATTTTGTCACTTTAAGGAATGCGACAACAACGCCAACAGTGTGTTGCTAAGCGCAGCCCTGCCACCTAATGAATTTACGCGGAAACCCAGCCGCAATTTGTTATAACATTTGTTACTTTTTAGTATTGCAAACTCAGAAATAAAAACAAAATGTCCTGGACTTTTCTGATAAAGGATGTATGAATATATTTTTTCAACAAAATTCTTAGCAGCATTTTGAGATGAAGCTTCTAATGTTGTATAAAATTCAAAACGATAAAAAATATGCGTGTAATGAATGTGTTCATTTTCTGTTCCTCATCAGACATCTTTCAACAATCGTGCTAAACCACTTAGTTGGACTTATATCATTCATAACAAAGTAGATTAAATATAGAAAAGAAAGATCGAGTAATTATTATATTTGCAAAATTCTTATTCTCAGCTGGTAATTTAAATTCAACGCCTATAAGAGGTATGTAGTGGTCTTATGTTGCGGTAAGTGGAGATAATATTATCGTTATGAAGTAATATTAAGAAATGACCTGGCTTGTCATCGGGTGTGATACATCGTAATCAATATCATTTTGTGAACGACGAAAAGGAAGACATATCATAGGTAAGGTTGTGTATAAACGGATTTCATGTGGAATTAAATTTTTTATTGGCTAGTCATAAATTTCAGAGCTCAGTACTGCATATTTGAAGTTCGTTGTACAAATACAAATAAGATCAGACGCACTTTCAGGTAAACTTGCCATTTGAGTGTACGACGCCTTCAGACAATCAAACTGTCGGCAAATGGAATCACTTATACTGAAGGCTCAAACATGGGAAGAAACAAGTCAGGAAAATGAAAATGTCACAGGAAAAATTGATTTAAAATGGAAAATAAATCTAGTTAATAATTGTAGATGATTTCAAACAATGGTTTAAAATAGATGTATTTAATAATTGTAATTTTTCATAAGCTCTACTGAACAATTATTTATACAGTTAGAGCATTTTAATCATTGACAAAATACAATAATAGGATGCTTAACTACTAGAAATCTTCCACTTGATGAAGGTGCAAAATTACCTGAAGGAATTGCAGTTTGATGCAATCACTGAAACAAGTTTCATAACGTTTTCGAAAATACCTTGTAAGGATCCTAAGTTTTACTAACGTTTATTTTATTTTAAAACTGTACTATCACTTCTTATTTTCTTTTTCCGGCCAGTATAAAATGCTTTAACTTGTTTATGCAAATTGTCTTGCTAACGCCCAAGTACTTAAGTTGTGGCTTTTTGCCAAGCGGAAGAGAGAGGGAGTTTTAGGAAGCAAGCCGCTTGCTACTGCAGTTTTATGAGTTTCACTCGGTTGCTGGTTGCCTTTAAGGCCAGAGGTTTAGCCCTCTTGATATTTGCAAACGTATTGTAGTTTCAGCAGCTCGGCGCACTACATATGTACCTTTTTTAAATAAAAGCCAGTCTTAGTGCTAGGCATTTGTATACTAATTCAAAGTTAGCTTTTAGTTAGAGTTTTAGTTAGTAGTTTTATATTCTTGTTGGTCTCTGTATTCCGATGTTCGAAAGTGCCTGTAAAGTATTGAAAATAAAGGATTTCGTATACCTTTCCCGCTTGCGTTGTCTGTTATACACAAATCTTTAACATAGCTTGAGTAAGCTCCCTGTTCTTATTCAGGGCATTCCAGTTTCCAAACCAAATCAAGAGAAACACAAGTCCTGACAATCTGTCACCAAAAAATATGACACAATCCTTTTGATGACTTTTTAGTTTTCTTTTCAATAATTCGTTAATCTTGAACTAAATTAACGTGAACCAACAAGATGTTCAGTAAGTTTTAAGCCTTACTCACTTGCAAAAGATATTTAACTTAAGTTGCTTTCTTCTTCTCATACATGCCCACCATCAGTTGTAGAGCGGTAATGTTTGTGAATAGTAGTAGCTATCTGGTGTTCGAATCCTGGTGAACAGACTGACTGCATGGGCGCTTTCGTGGCTTTTCCCATATGTTACGTCTATACGAGCAGGTTTTTTCTCAGAGAGACCTCCATGAAGGTCTCCCTTCCCTTTGACAGATAACCCTCGAATGCGTTGCCATAATTAAACAGAACAAATAATTTTATATACAGGGTGTTAAACTCGCCTGACAAATTCAGAGGAGTGATAGTAAGCTTCAAGAAGATGAAAAATAGCCATATAACATGGGGTCACAAACCACGTTTAATGTAAGAAAAACCAAAAAAATAGTTACGAAGGATGTGACGTCAAGTAAAACAAAAACGGGCAAGCAGGATTATAATGAATCATAGTTCATTGCCAGAAAGGAGATGGTGAAATATGTTTAGAGGAATTGTTCGAAGGTGTAGCTCCGAACATCATTGCACAGCCAACACCAACGGACGAATTCATACATAACTACGAAGTGACTACGATCTATGCCGTCAGATCCTCCAGTGCATCCATAGGGGTCTGTTAAACAAACGATTTCAGGTGTCCCCATAAGAAATCCAATGCATTGAGGATCGGGGAACTTGAAGGCCAAGTAACAGATCCGCCGCGTCCAATTCAACTCATCGTAGCATCCAGGTGGTTACGTACCGCAAACAGCAAAATGTGATGGTGCATGAACCACATGTTCTGGTGCATAGTGGCTGGTATTACTGCATCAAATACGGGAGGACGTGCAGTAGGAAAAAAATATAATTTGCTGTATTGAGGCATTTGAGCATAAGGTACGGGATAATCTCTGAGGATCCCTATCAAGATGTTAAAACCGAACATGTGTTGCACTTTCGAGAAGACAGTGCTATGGGGATTTTCCGATGACACCGGTGGACAATTGCTAAGAACGGATGAGAGTAACAGCCACAAAATGGAAGGCAGGAAAACGTGGAAATTAGCATAAGTGCAAGATACAGTAAGACGTATTGTGAGTACGCAAATTTTGGATTGTCAAAATTATTCGTCTCATGATGCTGAGATAAAATTTTAGAAGGCATTTTCTTCTATTGTCTCCCTCCTTTCTGCATGCCTCGATGGTGTAACGGTAGCACAATCAACGCGTATTCCAGAAGTCCAGGTTCGAGTTCCAGTGTGAGCATTGCTCATTTTAATATCTCCTGCTTCCAAAAATCCGAATGACTCTACAGTGGTGGCCGAACAGGAAGAACTAGTATATCTCAAGAAACTCTAAACGTCGCAAACCCGTCAACCACGGTGAATCCCATGGATAGATTCGGAATTTTCTTGGACACCCATAGAGCTACTATGAAACCAGCAGCCATTTTTGATGGAAAGATGTCTCTCCAATAAAGAAGGATACCCTCATCCGTGAAACGATAGAGAAATGGGTTGAATCACCCCAACAGCTGTTGTATAATGTTGTGCAAAGTATGACAAGACGTGTGGAATCTTACATTGCCCTCCATGATGAGCACATCCCGAACTGATATCATGCGCGAGAATGCCGGCGAACAGTAATCGCCATTTTTTCCATTTTACGTATTCAGCACCAATACAACTATTTTTCACTTTTCATTTTCTTTTTTTCACTCACCATTTTCACTTCTTTTCAAAGTTTTCAAGATTTCCAAGCACAATAAATGATATTTATTGTTAGGTTCTAGTATTCTGGCATTGTTTTATTTTACCTAGCATCGAAACGCACTTATTTTTAGCGCACTATGTAGCCGTTTGTGATCCGTCCTTAACAATTGTCAACCAGTGTATATGTGCACTTTGCGTGTGTTTACGCCCCTTTCTCTCGTAAAGCAGGCCTAAATATGTCTCGTAAAGCAGGCCTTGAATAAAACAGTGGTCTGGCAGGAAACTGTGAGTTTTTCTGTGTGGCATCAAGCATTCCGTGTATGAACTCTACATGAAGTGGATATTCGTCATCGCCTAGAAGTTGTACCTTCTGCACGTGGAAGGGGGTGCATGTTTTCTGCGCAACATTTTGTGTTTAATACCCAGTTCATAGTCTACCGGAAACTACTGGTCTACCGGAAATCGTAAATTGCTGCAATACTCCGTTTTCTTTGTTAGGTGTGCCCACATTGTGTTCTAGCTCTACATTACGCCTCGTGTTTTGTAAGATGTCATTGTAAGATGTCTCGTGTTGATTCCCGTCTCCCACAGCATTTGATCGATGTTCATGAAGGAGGTATGGTGTGCACAATGCCTTCTTGGATATTGCTTTTGGCACAACCTCTGTGCGAGGTGCCTATTGCCACCTGCTCGGCCGTAAATCATATGCATATCCGCATATTCCTTTTTCGTGTAATGGGACATATTGTTTCCGCATGAATTTTAACGCCCGAGAATTATGCAATGCCCTCTAATTTATACTTGTTCTCTGATTTAATTTTCCCCACAGACAGAATAAATTTGCATGCCAGAAGATTTCTTCTTGTCAACCGCTGCTTTTATTTTCCCATACGCATTGCAATTTGCGT